ATATATATATATATATATATATATATAATATGTTAAATGTTCATATTGTGATTGTAATATTTGCCAAATAATCAAAATATGATTTTCTGACCAAACCATAGTGTTTATACAAGACCCAGTCCAGCAATCAGAATGAAGTACTCACTGTATCTTATCCCATTGAATTTAGTACATCCAGTTGTGATGTTTGGTACCTTGCTGCATTGTGTAAGAGCAGAAAATAAGACTCGCGAGCTGGATATTAGATACAATCATCCTATATAAATGCTAATAGGCCCATACCTACAGTAGCAAGAGTGAATTGACTATAATGTCACTAAGATTACAGAACACTGTAACCTCACGTAATTTCAGGAATGCCCTTGTATTCCATATCAGTGCTCACCTGTCAACCGAGTTTAACCCGGCTCCTCCGTCATTCACAGAATGAGCGGTGCTGGGTAAAAAGCAGGAGGCATCAAAGTATGAAAGGAGAGCAAAGCTGCTGTGGGCGGCACCATTGAAGGGCTCAGCCGCAACAGCTCAGGTCAACATAACAGTGACAAGCCGCTGTTGGCAGCTAGCTTTTTTTTTTATCCTGTTTTTTGACAAAAGGCTAGACTGGGAGAACCTTCCTGTCCTGTGTGACACAAAAACCTTCTTACATGTGCCCTCAGGGCAGAGACGGGAGGGAATACAGAGAAGCAGAATGAAAGTATTTCTCTGCATATAATGCCTCAAAATAAACCATAATAAATGCAAGTTGGAATCAAGGTCCTTTATCCCAGAAGGAAAGATTTTCTATCTATAAAAAGTACTTTTCCTGGGAAAGCAGTGTGTGTATTTATCTTTGAAGTCTCCATAGTGGTTTTGATTATGTGTGTGTAACTAAATTGAATAATGCTTCATTATTTCAAACAATCAGAGCTTTTACTTAAAACACAAACAAACAAATCCATAAAAGCAGCAATTGTGCTTTTTGCATGACTCTAACTAGAATAGCATGTGTCCTGCTTAATTTTGCTAAACAATTGTCCATTAGATGTCCTCTGGCAAAAACAAATGTATTAATAAAAATAACAAACAGCTCTTTGTTAAAACGGCCACATTAGTGGCATAAGCTTTTTTAGCAGTTTTCTGCTATTGATGTTTATATAGATGAAGCCTTTTTGGATGGATCTGGTTTTCCCTGAGGAGGTCATGTAACTTTGTGTTTCACAGATGCGTTTTGTGATTTTAATCCTGTCAGAATTGAACAAGATGGTGTTTTCCGTCAAACATCCTCGGTTAAAATCATGGAGCAATTATGGTTGTCTGAGAGCTGTAATCCTGTCTGAATTGGAATGACAGCAATTGTGGTTTATTATTGTTACACAAAGCTGCACAACTGTTTTCAACATTGATAATAAGAAATATTTTTTGAGTACCAAATCATTTATTAAGGATCATGTGACAATGGAGTAATAGCTGCTTGAAAATTCAGATTTGCCATCACCTGAATAAGGTATGTTTTTTTATGTGTGTGTGTGTGTGTGTGTGTGTGTGTGTGTGTGTTACCATTTTTATTGTCTGAAAGCATAAATGCAGTCTTGGTGAGCATGAGACTTATTTCAAAAAAGATTTCAGTGTTATTTTAGTATCATTGATGTAATTTATTTTAAAAATGATGGTCCCACTTTATATTAAGTGGCCCTAATACATGTGTACTTACATAGTAACTAGATGTGTGCATAGTATGTAACCACAGTGTAAGTACATATTGATACATAGTATCTACAGCTGTAATGTTTGTGTAACTACACAC